TGTGTGTGTGAGTGAGTGAGGGAGTGAGTGAGTGAGTGAGTAAGTGTGTGTGTGTGTGTGTGTGAGTGAGTGAGGGAGTGAGTGAGAGAGTGAGTAAGTGAGTGTGTGTGTGTGTGAGTGTGTGTGTGAGTGTGTGAGTGAGTAAGTGAGTGAGTGAGTGAGTGAGAGAGAGTGAGTGAGTGAGTAAGTGTGTGTGTGTGTGTGAGTGAGTGAGTGAGTGAGTGAGGGAGTGAGTGAGTGAGTGAGTAAGTGAGTGTGTGTGTGTGTGAGTGTGTGTGTGAGTGTGTGAGTGAGTAAGTGAGTGAGTGTGTGTGTGTGTGAGTGAGTGAGTGTAATAATTTGGTCCTTTGTTGTAGTTCAATCAAAACAAGAGAACAAATTCTTAATCTGTGGCCACAATATCTATATAAGATAAGATATACTTTATTGTAATTGTAATATTGTATATATATATATATATATATATATATGCATGTCGTGCGGGACTGGACAGTTTGATGGTTCTTCCTGCACGTTTCACGACACTTTGAAAGCGAATGCTACAGTAGACGAGAAGTGTGCGCACGATGGCCACTTTACTAGTATTAGTATTTAATAGTATTCTTGACAAGGAATGGCATGAAACTAAGTCTTGATTAATCGATAATATGTAATCAAAATAGGTGTGAAAAGGAATAAAAAATGTTTTTTAAAATATATTTTACTGTGTATTTCATCTGGAAACCGCATCGAGTTTCATGCAGAGGAATGTTTGTGCAAAGGGCACGTATTTCTGATGAGCCGGTTTGTTAATTTCCCGGGGAATGCAAGAACAGATCAAATGCATTCCTTCAGTGCGATGGAGAAAAGCATGTGTGTGTGTGTGTGTGTGTGTGTGTGTGTGACGATGTGCAATGAATAATGCCATTAAATGCAGTGCAATGTTTTTAGCACAAATTAGCAAATATTGCAGGGATTATCAGTGAACAATGACTTACATGTCAGTCGATCCAGTTTTATAAAACCTTCTTTTTTTGCTTATTCATCTGTTAAGGAAACATTTCATCTAATCATTCTTCAAACATTACATAAACGTCCATCTTAAAGGGGCGGTTGATTATGATTTCACTCTTCTAGCTGATGTTAGTGTGTAATGTTGCTGTTTGAGCATAAACAACATCTGCTAATTTATTTGCTATTAAAGAAATCGCTTTTTAAGGACTACAACAAACGGCTGGTAGAACTACACGCGCTTCCTCAAGCTTCTGTTAGTGACATCACAAACCCTAGAATTTACATAAACCCCGCCCCCAAACACAATTTATAGATTATCAAAACAGAATATGACTAGAAGTTAATTCCACATCAGCAACATAACCTCATCAACTAACCATTCAGAAATGTCCTGTTGCTTCTACATGTCGAAGCTCCGCCCCCTGTGCCGGGAGCAGCAGCTCATTTGCATTTAAAGGGACACACACAAAATCCGACAACTTTAACATGCTATGAAACAATATATGTGGGGTATTTTGAGCTAAAACTTCACACACACACACACACACACACACACACACACTGGGGACATCAGATACTTATTTTACATCTTTTTGAAAAGGGCATTATACAATACCACCTCTTTAAATGTTTCAGCAAAAAAGAGAGAGAGAGCAGCTTGAACATTCTGCTAAACGTCTCCTCCATCATTCATTTACTCGCTCTCAGCCAAAATGAGAGTGAGTAAATGATGACAGATTCTTGTTTTTGGTGTGTTGGTGTGAGGCTTTGAGAAGCAGCAGCGAGAGGAAATGATGCTTGAGTGAGTTCAGAGTCTTTGTGTTTGTGTTTGGGTTTGGCTGTGGTTCGAGATCTCTCAGTGGGAGTCTGCCCATCAGAGCTTGTTGACATGGTGTACTTCACAACCACACACCCTTAAACACACACACACACACACTCTCCGCCAGCAGGTGTGTCAGACTCCACACCGCCAGAGGAAAGACTTGAGAGGGAAACGATGTCAGCGACACTTACTGAGTAATGGCACTCGAGCAGGGATTTCTCCATGCACAGCATTATTGTGTCAAATTCATAATCTTGTATGAGAATCAGTTCCTCTCGCAGCATCTCTTCTCTTCTCCGATGACGAGGGCGGGGCTTAACCTGTCACTCACATGAGATCCGCCAATAGCAAGCCACAACCATCCAATCAATTCCCCACAGACACAATCAAGCCCCGCCCACATGCGATTCACTCGATCGGAGAAACGACTAATGCAACTTCCAGGCCGACTCTAAAAAGTACTCTAAAACTAGTCAATGTTGGGAACACAGTTTGTTAAGTGGTATCAATACTTTTACAGCAGTTATTAGTCAAGGTAAGGGTCATTTTTACATACATTTCGTAAACTAATATAAAACATAAATTAATGCATTTATTATATAGAAAAACAAAACAACAATAGCATGTTTGTAAATTAACATGAATAGATTTTAGTGCTGGCCAACGATTAATCGCATCCAAAATAAACGTTTGTGTTTACATAATATATGTGTGTGTAGTGTGTATTTGTATATTTAAGACATATTTGTATGTGAAGAGTTCAGATGCAAAAGCCTCTAAATGCCATTTGAAATTTTCTTCTTTAATGATGATTTTTATCAAACTTGTATATTTAAGTTCAGTAATTTCACTTAAATAACAATTAATAGGTAATCTTCATTGCCATTTAAGTGAAATCACTGAACTTAAATATACAAGCTTGATAAAAATGATCATTCTAGAAGAAAATTTCAAAAGGCACTTAGAGGCTTTTGCATCTGAACTCTTCATGTATATAATTTATAATTGTAACGGTTACCAGCTGGAGTGCCCTATTGAGCCTCCAGAGGGCACTCCAGATAAGACTATGTTTCACACAAACTACAGTTCCCAGAACTCACTGCCCGGACTCATCATCACTGATCACATTCACCTGTACCTCATTCACTATTGCATTCACCTGTCTCATCTTGTTAGTCTGGCTATATATGCCATGTTCATTCAGTCACTCACCGCGAAGTCTTGTTTAAGTGTTTCACTGCAATTCTGAGCATTCTTATGGTTTTCTGGTCTCTTGGTTTTAGATATCTTGCCCTGTTCCCTGGATTACTCTCTTGCCTCTGGTCCCTGCCTGTTTTGTTTGTTTCTTTGTTTATCTGTTTTGGACTGCCTATCTGTTTATGACCCTTGCCTGTACATTGGATTACGCCTCTGGATTGCCCTCAAATAAAGCTGCGTTTGGGTCTCATCTACAAGCCTCAGAGCAGTTCGTGACAATAATATATAAATAACACGTTTTTCTAAATTATTATATACAAAAACAAAGCAACAATAGCATGTTTGTAAATTAACATTAATAGATTTTAGTGCTGGCCAACTATTAATCACAATTAATCGCATCCAAAATAAACGTTTGTGTGTGTAGTGTGTACTGTGTGCATGTGTGTATTTGTATATTTAAGACATATTTGCATGTATATACTGTATATATATATTTATACATAATTTATAATATATAAATAACACGTTTTTCTTAAATACATACATACATGATGTATACAAAAATAATACACAGTACTCACAAACTTTTATTTTGGATACGATTAATCGCGATTAATCGTTGCCCAGCACTTATAATGTTAAAAACACAGATTTTAACATCAATGAGTTTTTTTTTAATTGTATATGTTTTGTTTTGGTAATGTCATTAGGTAGGTAGTTCTTTTTATTTTTCGAATGGAGTGTTTGTTTTTTTCGCAGCTGAAGTGCTCCGGTGAACGAGACCTTGCATGACTTACACACACCGCAAGCCTCGTCTGGAAACACGACGCGCTCCAAACCGCACGCGAGCGGCAGGAGACCAGCGCTTCACTGTGGGACCCGACCAGTGTGGTCTCCTCCAGCCTGGGAAAACTTTCAGATGTGTGCATTTTCCTCACAGTCTCTGCTGTGGTTCATGGCACTCAAATCTGCAGCAACATCCCGCGTAAGGAATGCGCACACGGATCACACACTGCATAACGACACACACTAGTCAGGGGACGCCGAGAACGCCTGCCCAGAAAAACAGCATCAGAGGAAATCATTTTACAGGGAGAGAGACTGGCGTTCCCACATGATCGGATCCAGCTGACCCGGTCACACACACACACACACACACACACACTGCTGTGGTGGGTTTGATGGTATCAGGTTCTTCGAAACACACCATGGTAGCACTATAGTGTAGCATCATCATGGTTTTTCAAGACTTCTATTATGATGTAATACATGTCTTATTTTTATCTTAGTATATCATGAGTTCTATTGTTATGGCATAATTGTGACTGTCATAGTTATGATGTAAAAGTCGAAATTATGACTTTTATCAAATTATTTTGATTTATGTCAAAAATGGCGGTGGACTTTTTGACTTTTTATGTCATAATTAAGATTTAGTAAGTCAATTATGACGTAATCTCTTAATTATGACATATTTTCATCTCATAATTTTAACTTTTTGTCATAGTTATGACGTAAAAAGTGGTTTTGACTTTTATCTCATATTTTTGATTTATGTCAAATATGATATAGTGTCATAATTATGAGTTTTTATGTCATATGGCATTCAAGCTACATCATAATTTTGACTTTTTATGTCCTAATTAAGAGTATGTCAATTCTTAACTATGTGTCATCATCTCACAACTTCGATTTTTTGTCATAGTTATGATGAAAAAAAAAGTCAAAATTATGATAGCGATTTTGACTTTTATCTCATAATTTTGTCAAATATGAGTGTCATAACTATGTAACAGTCTTACAATATGCTTACTTTCAATATACAGTATTAATATTTTAACTTTTTAAGTCTTATGATTTAACAATGCATATTCTTATGTGGCCGCTTCCATACTCACTCACTCACAGGAGACACAATCCTAGTTTCTAAAGTTCGTTGCGCGTCATCAGTCAAGCGGCGCGACGCGAATGTTTGAGTTTTTACCTGCCTGGTGAAGAGGATCGCCGCGTCGTGGTGATGCTGATGATCGTCATCCAGCGGGTTCTGCTGGTTCTGCCACTTACAGAAGCTCTTGAGCGTCGCGGCGGCGTTTTTGGACACATCGATGCCCTTCTCGCTCTCGGACAGAACCGCGACTTTAACCACCGACAGGCGGATGGGGTTCTCGATGCTCGCGTGCCCGTAGAGTTTGGACGCGATGGACGCGAGCGTCAACAGGTAATGATGCAGGTCCTTCCCGTACTTCTTCGTCATGGACGCGTCCGCGACCAGCAGCAGCTCCACGTGCCGCGCGCGAGACACGGACCTCCTGCGTCGTGTTAGCGACGCGTCGGGCTTCGTAAACTTTGTCCACCATCTGCGTCCGTGCGCGTCCCCATCGCGTCTCCCTCGAGCGCCGCGCTTTTTATTCCGATCACGCGTGCCGCAGCTGTGCCGGGCGGGCATCTCTTCGAAACTGAAGCGTTCTCGGGTAAAATAGTGGAGAGCGCGCGTTGCGTCGATGTGCACGTCATTCTCGTGGCCCTTCGCGCGGATACGCGGTGTGATTGTGTACCGGGAGTGATCAACCGCGAAAAAGCCATCAAGCCCACCACCGCACAGATTGAACACCGCGAGGGACTCCGCGTTGGAGTTGACGGTGCCGCGGTAAACGCATTCCGGCGCGTTCGCGTTCGAATCAAAGTGATGAGACAGAACCGTCGCGTCCCGCTCCATATCCAGCTGAAAGCGTCGTTCGTCCATGTACAGAAGATACCCGGCTTTTCCTCCCGCGTGATAAATTCGATCCACAGCGCGCACGACGCCGGCAGGTGCGCGGAGAGACGCGTTCGCAGGTGGACGGAACGCGCACGAGCCGTGCAGAGCGCAACACCACAAAACAATCCGCCACATTATTCCATGTAGTTCAGTCTGAAAACTTTTGGAAACATTACAATCCGAAGTGCAGCTCTAAGATGAGGAGTTCCTGCGAGCGGAGGCGCGCGGGACCATTCGTGCCGGCGGCGCGCATCTCACGAGGCACTGGAGGAAACACATGAAGGCACAGAAGCAGCGCGAGCGTGAGTGAACTTGGAGAACAAAACAAAGTTTCCTCTTAAGAGCACCAGAGACAGAAAGAGAGAGAGAGCGAGAGAGAGAGAGAGAGAGAGAGAGAGAGAGAGAGAGAGAGAGAGAGCGAGTCCTGCCCCTTTGCGCTCTCCCTCCTCCTCTCATTCTTTACCAACTCTCTCTCTCTCTCTCTCTCTATCTCTTTCTCTCTCTCTCTCTCTCTCTCTCTCTCTCTCTCAGTTTACAGGTTCATCCCTACTTGTTAGATGTTTGAAAATGTCCTCACACACACACACACACACACACACTTGTGGCCTGATTTAGGAGCACTTTTTACGATAAGGTCTTATTGGTTGACATTAATGCATTAGTTATGAACTGACAATGAGCAATAGAATTTACAGCATTTATTTACTGTATTACTATGAATTAGTAGCCTACATGTTGAGATTAACAATAATAAATGCTTTAGAAGTATTTTTTCATTGTTTGTTCATGTTAACAATGGTAAAGTGTTTAAGTAAACAAGTCACATTTGTACATGTTTCACTGTGTGTGTGTGTGTGTGTGTGTGTGTGTGCAATAGTCTATGTCAAAATAAGAATTTTTCATTTTGATTTCATGGTGACTGTAATGATAATTAATAAAGTTGTTTAAACTCTCCTGCATAAAAATGGTTGAGGACTCAAATTGATCTCAAACAGAATCCTATATAAACACACTTGTGATGCTGCTTTTGTTTTGATACAGACGGGTCACATCTCCACTCATCTCTGACTGATGTGTTTGATGATCATCTTCGATTGCTGTTATAATTACTAATTAGCACATTCAGCATCGTCAACACGTGGAGGGAATCCGCTATACTGGGAAACCCTGTTCAATAGTGCATCAACCCCCACAGGCAATGACACACGGGGTATTGTGCACTAGTGAGGGCTTCAGTGTGCACTGCATTATGACATCATCAACAACAACAACAACAACAACACATCTCAACCAGGCTTAAAGACACACTGATAAACATGATGCTCTTCCTGAATAAAACAAATATATAGGTTCAGAAAAATAATCTTTGAATTGTTTATTTGAACAGATGTTTTCAGCATAAAGTCACTTCATTCGTATTATTTTTCTATAGGGATGCACTGGTATAAACCTATAATCGATCATTCTTTATATTTGATTGGCTGATTAATCTAAAACCATATTTTCATATAATTTTGAGACCCTTGATAACAAAAACAAAAGTCTCAGCATTAAAGGGATAGTTCACTTTGAAATTAATTTTTGGAATGTTTTATCTTACCTCAAGGGCATCCAAGATGTAGGTGTCTTTGTTTCCACCGTATTTTCAGTTTTGACATTTTTAGGTCAAACCGGTGTTGTCTGTCAGTCATATAATGCAGATTTAGGGGGTCCACCTCAAAGAGCATGCACAGAGAAGTCCAAATTAAACATGATTTAATGACTCGTAAATGTAATGGCGTAAGACACGAAACGAGTGGTTTGTGTGAGAAAACGAACAGTATATGTATAGTTTTACCTCTTGTTAACAGCCGTCGAACTGATCTGAATCAGATGTCCAACTGAACCGAACTGAACCGTGTCTTACGTTACGCCGGAAGTGATCTCTCGCGCGTCTACGTCACGCATTGTTTACACTGAGATTTCGGAAGTTTTACCTTTCACTAAACATATTTAGATGTACGGGGAAACCGCAATGGAAGACGATTTCGATTTATATAAATATATTTAGTGAAAGGTAAAACTTCCGAAATCTTCGGATTAAAGTAAGAGGAACTGGGATGCTCACATTACAGCAGTTTTACATACAACAAATTGAAAGCATGTTAATTCTCGCACAGGTTTACATGTTGGAGCATTGAAAGCTTGAGCTTCCTGTAGTTGAGTAGCATTATTTTAATAATTGAATACAGCACTTTGTTCTCCACCAAACTCACACTGATGACCCGAGCGATGAGGTGATGGATAATTTATGGCACATCCAGAATAGAAGAGACTGAGCGTGTCCGGTCACGCGCGTGCAATCTGACAGATATCCACAGCAGAATGATGAGGCATTAGGAGAATATTTACGACATCTTCAGGCGTGTGTGTGTGTGTGTGTGTGTGTGTGTGTGTGTGTGCCAGCGCTGGGTTCGGGTGTTGTGTAATACGAGTCGCTCTTCGAAATGCGCACGATTTGAGTTGCACACACTTCTCGGTTCTCCTGAACAGTGTGTGTTGACCGAAGCTGAGTCACTTCACTGTGTTTGAGCCGTCAGACACACACACAGACTACCGCGAATATTTACTGGTATGTGCAACTGCAATATCTACAGGAGAATGAAGCAGACATACAGCTCTTCTCACACTCTTTATCTGTGCAACACAAAAGGAGAATGTTCAAGCTATTTAATTATTTTTAGCATTCCTGTCGCTTAAAATATTTTGCATGAACTGATTTAAACTGTAGTTGAATGCAATGTAAGTCCGAAAAGCGTCTGCTAATGTACAGTAAGATGTCTTAATCGGTCAAAAGTTTGGAGCAATAAAGCATAAGTCATCTAAATGTATTATTACTATTATTATAAATCACTGATGCCAATCCTGCTGAATATTATCATCATTACTACCACTTATTATCATTATTATTATGATACCACCAATTCTATTACTATGATTGTCTTAAATCGCCTCTATTTACCTGCATACACCACTATATTAATATCTATAGGCTATTTAGCTGTTTTCTCTCTCTTCTGCATGTATACGTGTCATTGATTTCTTAACTGTTTTGTTGCAATAAATAAAAATTTAAAATGGAGCAATTAGAATTTTCTAATGTTACCAAGGCTGCATTTTGATTCAAAATAACATATTATTATAATTAGGCTAATATAAGCTGTTGTCTATGTGAATATATAGTAAAGTGTAATTTATTCCTGTAAATGTTCAGCATCTTACTCCAGTCTTCAGTGTCACATGATCCTTCAGAAATCACTCTAATATGAGGATCTGATGCTCAAGAAAATATATATTTATATACGCCACACACACACACACCGTCCTGCTGCTGTTCTATAGGAGTGTGTGGGAGTTCACAAGAGAACACTGTGTACTATCACGTATGTTTCACAGTGACGTCCCCTTATTAAACCAATCAAAACCAGAGTGTGTCACAATGATTTACATTGATTAAACTGATCAAATTACGAAAAATAATGAGTTTAATTGTTTTACATTTAATGCAATTTAATAAAATAAATGTCTGCAACTAACATCCAGACTAAACTCAGTGTATGCTCTGTTATAAATCACTATTTACTCTCTTAATTCATGTTCCTTCTCTTATTGTGCGTGATTCATCAGTGCTATTTTAACTAAAGATTCTTTGTTTGTAATAACATGCTTCACCTCTAACACAACTTTGAAACGGCATTTACAACCCATTTTATTTCATACTGGGATGCATTTTACAGTTCAACAGAAAACCCACCCAGATAGCAGACTGACATTGAATCAACGTGGAAATATGACATCGAAACAACGTTGATCTGACATTGTTTTGCTCATCGAATTAACGTTGAACCAACGTCAGACGCGCTATTCTTTCAAAACTAACGGAAAATCAACTTGAAATCAACGCGTTGTTTCAACGTTATGAAAGCAAACCAATTTTCGATTTCATTTAGCTTTGAAGAATGCCGCGTCTGACGTTGGTTCAACGTTAATTCGATGAGCAAATCAACGTTGTTTCAATGTCATGAGAGACGTCGTTTCCACGTTGATTCAATGTCAGTTTGCTGTCTGGGCAGACAACTTCCGGCAAATTTAGATTTGCTCTGAAAGTTACAACTGAGAATGGTCTGGTTTTAACTAGGCTAGTTTATGAGAAATAAATGATTCCATGATGCATTTTTGTCTGTTTCAGTACCGTGAGTTAGTCTCAATTGATATTTCAAGCGGGATGAATTTCGCGCGCGATATTAGCCGACGTTTAACGCCTCGTGACTAAACAAAGGGCGCCAATGTGAGTGTTCACACTGACGCGAAAACCGCCACGCGTAAATGCGTCATTTAAAAAAAAACAAACAAAAACGGCTCAGGTTCGTTTGATTGGCGCTTTTGCTCACGTGTCTGGTCTGGTGCTTCTGAAATTACAGTAAAACACAACTTGGGAGTGCTCAAACACAAAACGGTCTTACCGAGCACACATACACAATGGCGAAGAAGATATACGCCAACGTCTACACTGCCGGAATATGGGCAAGATGAATGTTGAGCTGCAGGTCTTAACCACATTGTTAATGCCAAAAGCAACCAATCAAGTGGCAACCTTCCGGCCTCTCTTAAATCCAACACTGAGTTCAACTGCTGTTCATCGACTGGCCACTAGAGGCCGGCTGCAGAAGAGAGTCAGTCCCATAGACGCGCATGTTAAAATGACAAAATTTACAGCAGGAAAAATTATGTTTACTGCCTGGTACAAAAACTGGTAGATAATTTTACTCTTCGTGACGACTATGAGGGGGTTGAATTATTTTATAACTCATCCGTTTATATTATATTAAGCCTTAAAGTTCTGCATAATTAAGGGAGTGGCCACTTGAGTGACAGGTGGATTGCCGCTGATGTCACTGTTTTAATAGTACTATTTTATTAGTTAATATTAAATTAGTTAATATTAAAGTAGTTAATAATTAATACTTTTTTTTTTTGTGTGTGTGTGTGTAATGTCTGTGATGTTTTGCTGTTTTGTGAGGTTGACGCTACTTAAATTGCCCTGTAAAGGGACAAATAAAGATTTTACTACTACTACTGCTAGCCGTTGGTCACGTCACCTCAACTAATCCGCCGCGCTGCTCGTTTTCGTTTATCCGGGAGTGACGCGCGGCTGGCTCCGCCCACAATGTTCTTCAGAAACACTGCGGGTGACGTCATGGACACCACACACATATTTGTTTACAGTCTATGATGAATATATAGAGATAAAGTTGGACTTTATTTTGATTTCTCGTGATTTTAACTTTTAACGTCAGATATCAGGCCTGTTGTTTTTCCTGCGGTCAAAACATGTTTGTTCAGACTCAGAGCCGGTCGTGAAGAGGCTCTCGTCTCTCACCTTTCTGCCAGCGCTTGTGATTCCTGAGTCTCGTGGGGGTCGGCGGAGGATGTTTGCTCAGGTCAGAGCGATGTGAGAAGCCACGGCCGACGTGTGAGGGGTGTGTGAGTGTGTGTTTTGGGTGATGAATGCGTTGGGATCTTTAGAGGAATTGCTGTAACCCACAGCTCACCTTTGGCTCGGGCCTTGACCCGCTAACAGAGATTAAAGATTGAGACACGAGGACGAGATTTCCTGTCAAAACAGTTTGAGGAAAACCGGCAGAGCTGTTTACTAATGTGGAGAACACTCAGAGGATCTTAAAAACAGTGTGTGTGAATTTGTCAATCTGTTTCTTTGTAATTAGTTTCCTGCTGTGTGAGAATCAGATGACCTGAACTTCTACATCATAAATGTCTTCACTGTCACTGATGATCATTTTAATGCATCCTTGAAGAACACAAAATTGGGGGATCAGTAAGTTCCTCTTCTTTTTTTTTTTTTGGAAAGAATCTGATCCATTAAAAAATTAATTAGAGGCAGACAAATAACTAAGATCTAATAGTTTAAAATCACACGGAAACTCCAGAACTGTCCAGAACACACACACACACACACACACACAGACGAGCGCATGCTTTGGCACCGACAGGCCAACGTGCGGGAGATGCTGAACCTAACACGGGCACTTTACAGATATAATCCACTGAACACAATAACACACACACACACACTCTCTAAATATAGAGCACAGCACACACACTATCAAAACGTGCATATGGACATGCATGCATGGACACGTGCGCAGACGGCGCACATATCGACGTACACACACACATACATACACAGAGCCGACAACACTAAACTAATCCATACACAATACGAGCGCTAAAAGGCACATTGTGTGGCCCATCTGTTGTGTTCTGTCCCAGCATGCCTCATTCATAATAGAATACCGACACGATTTAAGGTACATGGTTTAAAAACTCTAATCTGCTAAATGCGACTAAGAGGACATATTATACCCGTTTATAAAGTCTTGCTGTGTTTCAGGCTCGACTAGAAGTTGAATGTTGATTATTCTCCTCATATTCTCCATTGTTGCGGCTCCTCTCTTCCCAGTCTGTCAGTAACGCTCTGTTTACTTCTGTCTCTATGAAGCCCCGCCTTCTGAAAAGCACACTGTGCTCTGATTGGTCGGCTAGAGCGGTGTGTTGTGATTGGTCAAGCGCTTCGAGTGTGTTTGGGAAAAGCCACGCCCCTTGTAACACACTACTAACTAACTCAACCAGGCCCCGCCCCTTTATTCTGCTCATTAATTATTATAATGAGGAATATTGTGACGTGTTCGTTCCCGGGAGAAACTAGTAATAATAACCTCCAAAAAGTATTTTTCCACCATTTTAATAAACATGTCATTAAAAACAAAAATGCCAATAATCACAAAGTGTAATTATGTGAAGAATTATTCAAAACATAATTATGGCAGAATATCTGTGACAGAGTATTTACTTCAATAGTTTCATATGCATAAAATTGATAAACATTAAGAATGTTGAAAAAAACACACAAAAAAAAACACTTTAACATGTAGCTTCCTATTTTAGCAACATTTAGCATAAATTAGATCTAAAAATTGCTGAGATTTTTATTCTCCTGAACACATCTGGGTCATATTTCAACTAAAAATAACAGGGGTAAAAATTACATACTTATAAAAAATTACAAAAAAAATATTACAAAAAAAAAAAAAAAAAAAACTACTTTTGAGGAAAATGTTATTGTCATTCAAATAAACTCATAATGAGATCAGTTAGATCAGATTAATCAGATTATACTATGACTAAACAGATTCATCATGCCAGGAAATATTCTTTATATATATATATATATATATGGCATATAATATAAAAATTTAAAATTAAAAATTTAAAATTAAAAGTACTCTGAGAGTGAATCAGTGTTATTTTAGTATTATTTATATACTATTATAGGATGATTTTTATGAATTAGCTTTTATTTTTTATATTTTCAGAAAATATTAAAATATGAAAGTAATTCAGAAAATGACATTTATTCTTTTTTTTTTTCAGCCTGGTTGAATACATTTTTGGAAATATGCATATCAAGAACACTAAATATCCGGTCAAAATATGCAGTGAACGTCTGAAGAGAAGCTGCTTGTTAAAAAATAGATAAATATCGAGAATGCGGAACAGATAAGCAAACACTTTTGTAACATGTTATACTTTCATGTACATATTATCACGGGTTGGTTCAGAGAAGACAGACGAAGACCGTAGTGAACGCTTTCTTTAATCACAGAGGCTCAGGATACACAGGAACAGGTGAGACAACATGTCCAACAATACCGGACAATGAACTGAATGCAGATACACAGTGATGATGAGGAAGGTGATTAGTGTCCATGGAAACACACAATCAAAACCTAATGGTGACACATATCCAGTAAATTCAAGTAAGGTCATATTTCAACCAATATCGAACACAGACGGCTTGTCATCAAGACAAAGAGTTTCTTTTACGACACGTCAGCAAACGCCGGTTTCTGTACATCAGATCTCCTCAGTTTCACTCACTCACACCACGTCCTCGGGTGTCTCAGTGGGCTTCTTTGTGCTGAGGTCAGAGGTCACGAGGAAGGTGCTGGCCTGTCCGCTTGAGTCCGGCACAGCAGACGGAGACGCTGCACACGGGACACATCATTCACCAGAGAGAGGGTTATTAGACGCTCGAGACTCTCTGTCTGCGTGAGGGCTTTTATTTGCCACTTACACAAACAACTGTCATCGGTTTAACAATGAAGGACTAGAGTGAGACTCGATTCGTGATTCGACACGAATAAACATCGACCCTTTTATGAGGGAATGATCTACAGTCCCATGAAGCACTGCAAATGATGAGACCGGACGGCAACCTTCCGCTTGTCTTGAATCCAACACTGAGCGAGTTAAACTGCAGTTCCTCCACTGGCCACTAGAGGAGTCAGTCCCATAGACTCGCATGTTAAAATGCCCAACTTTACCGCAGAAAAAAACATGTTTACTGCCTGGTACAAAAAATGGTTTTGGTCTATGTCGCTAATTTTACTCTTCATGACGACTTTGAGAGGGGTGAATTATTTTATAACTAATCCGTTTATATTATATTAAGCCTTAAAGTTATGCATAATTAAGGGTGTGGCCACTTGAGTGACAGGTTGAGGTGTCGCTGATGTCACTGCTAGCCATTTGTCTGTTGTGTGTTAGCGTCACGTCACCTCAGCTAATCCGCCGCGCTGCCCGTTTTCGTTTATCCGGGAGTGACGCGTGGCCAAGATGGCGACGGCCGGCCCCGCCCACTTTGGCCTTCAAAAATGCTCTTCGGAAACACTACGGGTGACGTCACACACACTACACACATATTTTTACGGTCTATGAAAGGGACGCAGTGACTGGCCAGTTGGTGGCGCTATAAATTAAACAAACACGATTGACTTGAAAACTGGCATGCGGCGTCTGTCCAAGGTGTCGCGATTGTCTACGTGGACGTTCATGTATCTCGTATAACACTGCCAATTAGGGCTGGGAAAATAAATATCGATTTCTCGATATTAATCGATTCTCATTTTTACGAACCGATATCGATTCTTAAATCTCAAGAATCGATTAGTCATCCTGTTTCATTTGAATGAATGGGACATTGTATCGCGGCTGCGCACATCCAAAAAAATCACAATAATCTTTGTCCTTTGTTACTATTGATATGAAACAAAGTCTCAATTTTCAAGTTACGTCCATTTCCTTTAGAAATTCAAAAACATAAATAGCGTTTTGTCGCTGTGGCGTGAGATCGCTCTGGAGAAGCAGCAGCGCTGATCTCTCTTCCGGCTTAATAATACCAGTCACAGCGCCAAATAAACATGAATGAGCATCTGAAAGTGTGTTAAAGATAGAGGACAACTTATCCAAATCCGGATCATGTCACATTGATTCACTCAATCAGCGTTTCAACCGTGGAAAGACGTCAGTTAATCAGCTTGTAATCAATGTATCGTCATATTTACCTCAGAAAACACACATAAACTCGTTAGTCAGCTAGAAAAAATAACTCTAGAGAGGAGCATTTTCCTAAATATATACACCATATTACATATGCATTATAATCTTAATGTTCTTCAATATTTAATGCATATTTGAATAAATCGGGCAAGTTTTTATGACAGCCACCATTTAAATGTTTATATTTCATATAATCTTCTTATTATAAAAATAAATAAAAGTGTAATTTAAGTGTTTGTATAGCTACAAAACATTCATTATTACCTTCATATTAGGCTAATGAAGCCTATAGGCTACAACTAGACTCCCATAGTTTACAGCATTTAAGAGATTCGATTCCCTTGAGAAAAATGGCCATTTATTGTAATTGATATTCAAAATAATCAAAATCGAATCGAATTGCAAGCTTGTGAATCGAAATCGAATCGAATTGTGAAATTTGTCTCAATACCCAGCCCTACTGCCAATGGCTATAACACATAAAAAAAAATGTGATATTTTCACCAAACTCGACACACATATGCATGAGCTCATTCTCGACTGGCCTCTTGGTGGCGCTATAACATGGAAAATACATTAAATGCCTATAACTACGCAACTCTAACTCTGATTGGCTTGAAAATTGGCATGCGGTGTCTTTGTCCAAGGTGCCAAGACTGCCTTTGAGGACATTCGCACATCTCGAAAAACACGGCCGCCATCGGCCAATGAATATCGAGCGTTTGTCCGACGAGGGGCTCTATAAAGGGAAGCAGCAACTGGCCACTTGATGGCGCTTTGAAATCACGGTGATAGCTAAGCGTCAAAAAAGATGGAACGACATCTTCATTCATCAGGAATTCAAGTTAAATTCTCCACTTCAGTGCTCCCCCTGCTGTTCAGGCTCGGAAAGATTATCGCTAGTTTTGGAGAAATATCTTTATTTATAGCAATGTTATGCTGATGTATTTTAGCACTGATAGGCTGTTGCACTATTGCTTATCCTCCATTAATAAATGGATGGCAGACAACCTTTTGCAACTAAATTCAGACAAAACTGAGGTGCTGATTTTTGTGTGTGTGTGTGTGTGTTCACCTGATGAATGTTTCCCGGTGTGTTGATGAGTGTGTAGAGCGCACAGACGGGCAGGAGAGACACCGAGGACAGCGTGAGCGTCCAGCCCATCACCGAGGCCCATCCAGGAGCCGTCACACCGTTAGCCAGGGTCAGCGGAGACCAGAACATCAGCGAGAACACCAGCGTGCCCTGAACACACACACACACACACACACAGTTTCTCAGAGGAGGCGGCGGATCCGTCAGCAGCTGATGTCAGTGACACACGAGGAACACACAATACACACGATACACACGCCGGGCGTCAGGAAACGCCAGCAGAGCCTGAAGATGTAGAGCGGCTCGTAACCGATCATGGCCTCGATGTCACGACTGAAGCGATCCGCACCTGAGGACAGCACCACAACATCAGTGTGTGTGTGTGTGAGAATGTGTGTGTGTGTGTGTGTGTGTGTGTATACCATAGATCCATCCGATGGCCACAGACTGACAGATGGACAGCATTATCAGACTGGCTCCACTGCAGGAGAAATGATCGTAGATCTGAAACACATACAGGCCTCCCTGATCATCAGACACAGAGAGGAACACAGCGATACGTGACTCGTCTGATGGAGCAAATTAAGTTTTTTTTCAGATGCACTTTTATGATGGACAGATGATCTTTTATGATGATAGATGCACTTTTATGATGGACAGAAGCACTTTTATGATGGACAGATGCACTTTTATGATGATAGATGCACTTTTATGATGGACAGATGCACTTTTATGATGATAGATGCACTTTTATGATGATAGATGCACTTTTATGATGGACAGAAGCACTTTTATGATGGACAGATGCACTTTTATGATGATAGATGCACTTTTATGATGGACAGATGCACTTTTATGATGGACAGATGCACTTTTATGATGGACAGATGCACTTTTATGATGATAGATGCACTTTTATGATGGACAGATGCACTTTTATGATGATAGATGCACTTTTATGATGATAGATGCACTTTTATGATGGACAGATGCACTTTTATGATGATAGATGCACTTTTATGATGATAGATGCACTTTTATGATGGACAGATGCACTTTTATGATGGATAGATGCACTTTTATGATGGACAGATGCACTTTTATGATGACAGATGCACTTTTATGATGGATAGATGCACTTTTATGATGGACAGATGCACTTTTATGATGGACAGATGCGCATTTATGATGACAGATGCACTTTTATGATGGACAGATGCACTTTTATGATGGACAGATGCACTTTTATGATGGACAGATGCGCATTTATGATGACAGATGCACTTTTATGATGGATAGATGCACTTTTATGATGGACAGATGCACTTTTATGATGGATAGATGCGCATTTATGATGACAGATGCACTTTTATGATGGACAGATGCACTTTTATGATGGATAGATGCACTTTTATGATGGATAGATGCACTTTTATGATGGACAGATGCACTTTTATGATGATAGATGCACTTTTATGATGGATAGATGCACTTTTATGATGGACAGATGCACTTTTATGATGGACAGATGCACTTTTATGATGGATAGATGCACTTTTATGATGATAGATGCACTTTTATGATGGATAGATGCACTTTTATGATGGACAGATGCACTTTTATGATGATAGATGCACTTTTATGATGGACAGAAGCACTTTTATGATGGACAGATGCACTTTTATGATGGATAGATGCACTTTTATGATGGACAGATGCACTTTTATGATGATAGATGCACTTTTATGATGGATAGATGCACTTTTATGATGGACAGATGCACTTTTATGATGGATAGATGCACTTTTATGATGGATAGATGCACTTTTATGATGGACAGATGCACTTTTATGATGATAGATGCACTTTTATGATGGATAGATGCACTTTTATGATGGACAGATGCACTTTTATGATGGACAGATGCACTTTTATGATGGATAGATGCACTTTTATGATGATAGATGCACTTTTATGATGGATAGATGCACTTTTATGATGGACAGATGCACTTTTATGATGATAGATGCACTTTTATGATGGACAGAAGCACTTTTATGATGGACAGATGCACTTTTATGATGGATAGATGCACTTTTATGATGGACAGATGCACTTTTATGATGATAGATGCACTTTTATGATGGATAGATGCACTTTTATGATGGACAGATGCACTTTTATGATGGATAGATGCACTTTTATGATGGACAGATGCGCATTTATGATGACAGATGCACTTTTATGATGGATAGATGCACTTTTATGATGGACAGATGCACTTTTATGATGGATAGATGCGCATTTATGATGACAGATGCACTTTTATGATGGACAGATGCACTTTTATGATGGATAGATGCACTTTTATGATGGACAGAAGCACTTTTATGATGGACAGATGCACTTTTATGATGGATAGATGCACTTTTATGATGGACAGATGCACTTTTATGATGGACAGATGCACTTTTATGATGGATAGATGCACTTTTATGATGGATAGATGCACTTTTATGATGGACAGATGCACTTTTATGGACTTCAAAACCAAAACAGCCTTTCACTGCCATTATAACTACTGCTTGGAAGAGCCAGGACATTTTTTAATATAACTCTGATTGTGTTCGTCTGAGAGAAGAGTGTCATATACACCAAGTATGACTTGAGGGAGAGTAAATCTCACCGGCGTCACCATCAGAAGCCCGAGCAGAAAACAGGCTAAACACACGAGCAGAAGCAGAATCTCCCGTCGACGACCTCTGCGAACGACCTCGGGATACAGATCCGACACCGACATCATCAGCGCCTCGAGACTGACGAACTGAACACACACATACAGCGATCAGCAGAGCCGCTACACCAGCACACACACACCTGAGAGAGACGTCACACCTGAGTGTCCAGACCCAACATGATGATCATGAGGAAGAAACACACGGCCCACAGCTGAGGCAGAGGCATCAGGGAAACGGCCCGCGGGTACGCTATAAACGCTAGTCCAGGACCTGAAAGAGAACATATGCAGAAAACATTCTCCGCTAACGTTAGCTAAAGACCGTTATGAACATATCCTTCCTGTAACGTTAATAGAACCTTTGTTCGATCTTTAATAACGTCTGTACAAAAACATTATTTGTACAACAATTTTCAGAACGTTCATTTAAACGTTTTTTAAAAGGTTACGGATGTTTTCTGAATGTTCTGAAACGTTCCCATAATCTCGCTTATAATCAGCAAAAGGTTGTTCGACTAAGTATTTAAAATTCTTGACATGAATTTTGAGTAGGGTTGGGTATCGTTTGAATTTGAACGATTCTGATTCCGATTCCGATTCCTTGTTTCGATTCCGGTTCCTAACGATTCTCGATTCCGATTCTTTTAAGAGGCAGGGTCAAAAAAGTTTAGCTAACCTTGCTAACCAACGGCCTTTCTGAAGGAAATACTCCTTCTGTAAAAATACTCCTTTTGTCACAAATTTTGCCGAGTTTTCGTTATTTTTAGAAAAGTGAAGCCACACTTTGGATCGCTGACGTAAGCTACTCATGTTCGACTCGCGCGGTTATGCCAACACTTCCGGTAGACGCTTCTTCGTTGGTGTTGTTCAGCGGTTTCTTCTTCCGCTCGGCGGACTGTGAATATCGAAACTAGGAATCGAAATTTTAACTTTTGAACGATTCCGGGAAAAACGAAAAGTTAGTCTCGGTTCCAATCGATACTCGATTCTCGATACCCAACCCTAATTTTGAGACGGCGGAATTACTAAAAAGTTGGTATTTTCCGTTGAATTTGGGGAAACCACTTGAAACATTTGTTGTGTTGAGCCATTTCAATTACTTTGGTTTGATTTGTTCATTGCAAACAGCTGAAAGTCTTTAAATTTTGCAATTTGCAATATTCTACATAGTTTCTGACCTGACTGCGCCACGTCTGCGATATCCACTCCCTGCTCCAGCGCCATGAACCCGAGCACAGAGAAAATGGCGAATCCTGCAACGAAACTGGTGGCACTGTTGAGGAGACACAGTCTGAAACAGTCCCTGAAACACAAACACAAAGCTGAAATACGATAGAATATAAATACAGAGATAAAAACATTTGTATCTAACGCCGCACCGGTTTTACACGATTTACACCAGATTACACGATTTTAGCGTGATTTTGGCACGATCCGTTTGACGTAGGGCATCTTGGGGATTGGTAAACGACAACAGGCGTCAGGACGCAAGATTCGATCGTATCATCTCGTATAGTGTGTCATTGTGGGCGACAACCTACGTCACGTCTGCGATGCTTCACGACATCACGACAAAAAGACTAGCATGTTTAATTGTTTTAACGGTCGTCCACGACGGTTCTGTCACATGTATGAGGTTGACCAATAGGAGCACAGAAGCTTTTCCATAAAATGGCGAAACAAAAGAGAGACGATGGCGCTAACGTTAAAACTAAAAGTAAAAATATATAAGAAAACAATATTTTATATCTGTCCTCTTCGAGCAATCCAGGAACGTGTCCATTGTCGGGTTTTCTTTCTTTTTTTTACTTTATTTCTGAACACAACACTCACCGCTTCATCCATCGTTTGTTTACGTTCGTTTCCGGAAGTCACTCGTTACTAGTTTCGCCTTCTCGATGACATCACGTGCATCGTTAAAGACGGCACGCGATGACTGGTCAGAAAGCAACGTGTAGTCATGTGCACGACACGACACGATTTTAGGAGTCAAAATCGCGTAATCTGACACAGTGACTATCGTAACAGACAATAAAAAATCGTGTAATCTAAACCAGGCATTAATGCAATGCAAGTCACTTTGAAAAAAAGCATTCGCCAAATGTATGTAAATAAACGTAAATGAATCAAAATGTAATCTCTGACAGTAATGACTCTCCCTTATGTTGTTCAACCCCGTAACACTTTTGCTCATCTTCAGAACACAAATTACGATACGAATTTGTGAGTGATTAAAAAGTGGCTAATTCGTACTAATTCATACGTCCTCAATTTGTCTAAACCCACGTGATGGGTAGGTTTATGGGCGGGGTCAGGGGTAGGTCATTCGTACAAATTCATAAAATTCGTAAAATATGTACGATTTAGCAAAAGTCGTAGTGAGGTCGTACGAATTGTTACGAATTAGCCACCTCGTAAAATTCCTACGAATTGCCATGAGATCGGGTTGGAAATATCTTAATTAGCGTTCCGAAGATGAGCGAAAGTCTTATACGGGGTTGAGGGATTGTTGATTGTTGATTGTACCCTTTAAAATCCACATGAAGTCAGTGACAGTTCTGTTTTCTAATGTGTGTGAGTGTTTGTGAGCGGAAGGACGCACTTGTAGCAGTCGTTGTTGAATGTATTGTAGCTTCCCAGAGCCGTGAGACTTCCCAGACCAATGCCGTACGAGAAGAAGACCTGAGTCCCTGCATCCATCCACACCTTCAGAGGAGAGACGGACTGAACTCGCCGCTTTCTCCACGCCACAACACGTTTATTAGGAAACATTTGACTATAAAGTTTATCTTCTGTTTTTATATAAACTTTTATTAAGTTAAATTAAACATTTAATAGTGCTATAATGTCAAGTGAAAGTAATAACGCATACAATCTGAATATATGAGAATCTCTATTATTATTTTCATAAAATGCTTTCAAACACATTTTTATAGGGGAAAATGATTTAAAATGGTTGCATCAAAAATAAATGATTAAAATACAAATGATTTCTGCATGTTGGTTACACCTCACTTGATTTAATGTGAAATATTAACTATATAATCTCAAATTAAACTTCTTTCTTGGTTATTTTTATGCACATAAATTGTAGTAGAGATTAACTGTGTCCTATTCTGCTTTTGTAAATCTGCTGTTTGATCATGAGAAAGCTCCAGTTCTTCTCTGAACTCCTGAAACGCCTCCACTGTAGTCTCGAGTTTAACACGTAACATTATTCCTCATTATAATAATTAATGCGCAGAATAAAGGGGCGGAGCCTGGTTGAGTGAGTTAGTAGTGTGTTAAACTGGCGGTTGTGGAAAGGGGCGGGGCATTTCCCAAACACACTCGAAGCGCTCGACCAATCACAACACACCGATCCAGCCGACCAATCAGAGCACAGTGTGCTTTTCAGGAGGCGGGGCTTCATAGAGACAGGAAGTAAATAGAGCGTTACTGACAGACTGGGAAGAGAGGAGCCGCAACAATGGAGAATATGAGGAGAATAATCAACCTGTTCTAGGAGAGCCTGAAACACAGCAAGACTTTATAAAAGGGTATAATATGCTTCTTTAATGCGTGTTTTTAAGCAGGACTTGCATCTTATACGGGAGATCATGTGACGCTGTGGTACCTGTGGGTCCGTCAGCCGTGTGTGATTGGGTTTCAGGTAGTAAATGATCCCGTCCACGGCGCCGGGGAGCGTCACGCCACGAACCAACAACACCAGCAGCATCACGTACGGGAAGGTGGCGGTCACATACACAACCTACACCGCAAAACATGACAAAACACAACGCAACAGTGAACTACAACAGTTTAAAAATATGAAGCATTGATAATAATCAATGCACAAACTCACTACACAAACGCACTACACAAACGCACTACACAAACGCACTACACAAACGCACTACACAAACGCACTACACAAACTCACTACACAAACGCACTACACAAACGCACTACACAAACGCACTACACAAACGCACTACACAAACGCACTACACAAACACCTTGCCGGTGGATTTGACTCCTTTCCAGACACAGAAGTAGCAGACGACCCACACCAGCATCAGACACGCGGCCAGACGGGGGTTCAGCGAGCCCAGATGATCGACACTAGCAGACAGATCCAACACCTCACGCCTAGAGAGAGAGAGAGAGACGGACTCAGCACACACACACACACACACACACGCTGCAGACAATGACCCGTGCACACCATCATACCAGACACTCACTCCCAAAACTCGATGACTGGAGACGTGGCGTTCTCAGAGACATCGCTGGCGTTGTGTTGCTCAAAGCCCACGCAGGAATCTGGAGATAATAACCAGATTAAACACATTATAGACGAGATTAAACACATTATAGATGAGATTAAACACATTATACACCAGATTAAACACATTATAGACGAGATTAAACACATTATAGATGAGATTAAACACATTATACACCAGATTAAACACATTATAGACGAGATTAAACACATTATAGATGAGATTAAACACATTATACACCAGATTAAACACATTATAGATGAGATTAAACACATTATAGATGAGATTAAACACATTATACACCAGATTAAACACATTATAGATGAGATTAAACACATTATAGACAATATTAAACACATTATACACCAGATTAAACACATTATACATCAGATTAAACACATTATAGACGAGATTAAACACATTATAGATGAGATTAAACACATTATAGACAATATTAAACACATTATACACCAGATTAAACACATTATACATCAGATTAAACACATTATAGATGAGATTAAACACATTATAGACGAGATTAAACACATTATAGACGAGATTAAACACATTATAGACGAGATTAAACACATTATAGATGAGATTAAACACATTATACCCCAGATTAAACACATTATAGATGAGATTAAACACATTATACACCAGATTAAACACATTATAGATGAGATTAAACACATTATAGATGAGATTAAACACATTATAGATGAGATTAAACACATTATACACCAGATTAAACACATTATAGATGAGATTAAACACATTATAGATGAGATTAAACACATTATAGACGAGATTAAACACATTATACACCAGATTAAACACATTATAAACGAGATTAAACACATTATAGACGAGATTAAACACATTATAGACGAGATTAAACACATTATAGATGAGATTAAACACATTATAGATGAGATTAAACACATTATACACCAGATTAAACACATTATAGATGAGATTAAACACATTATAGACGAGATTAAACACATTATAGATGAGATTAAACACATTATAGATGAGATTAAACACATTATAGACGAGATTAAACACATTATAGATGAGATTAAACACATTATAGATGAGATTAAACACATTATACACCAGATTAAACACATTATAAACGAGATTAAACACATTATAGATGAGATTAAACACATTATAGACAATATTAAACACATTATACACCAGATTAAACACATTATAAACGAGATTAAACACATTATAGACGAGATTAAACACATTATAGACGAGATTAAACACATTATAAACGAGATTAAACACATTATAGATGAGATTAAACACATTATAGACAATATTAAACACATTATACACCAGATTAAACACATTATAAACGAGATTAAACACATTATAGACGAGATTAAACACATTATAGACGAGATTAAACACATTATAAACGAGATTAAACACATTATAGATGAGATTAAACACATTATACACCAGATTAAACACATTATAGATGAGATTAAACACATTATACACCAGATTAAACACATTATAAACGAGATTAAACACATTATACACCAGATTAAACACATTATAAACGAGATTAAACACATTATACACCAAATTAAACACATTATAGACGAGATTAAACACATTATACACCAGATTAAACACATTATACACCAGATTAAACACATTATACACCAGATTAAACACATTATACACCAGATTAAACACATTATACACCATATTAAACACATTATAGACGAGATTAAACACATTATACACCATATTAAACACATTATAGACGAGATTAAACACATTATACCCCAGATTAAACACATTATAGACCAGATTAAACACATTATACACCAGATTAAACACATTATAGACGAGATTAAACAGATTATAGACGAGATTAAACACATTATAGACGAGATTAAACACATACATCAGATTAAACACATTATAGACGAGATTAAACACATTATACACCAGATTAAACACATTATAGATGAGATTAAACACATTATACACCAGATTAAACACATTATAAACCAGATTAAACACATTATAAATGAGATTAAACACATTATACACCAGATTAAACACATTATAAACCAGATTAAACACATTATAAATGAGATTAAACACATTATAGATTAGGACACTTTTCTCTATATTCTGAAGTCTCTGAAATCCCTTTTGTCTGTCAAAACAATACATATAATGTGCTATCAGGCCAGTCAGGATTATTGTGCTGATGATACAAATGATTCAATTGTGTTTTGTGCATGTCACATATATACATTTATATATACATTTATATATATATATATATATATATATATATATATATATAATGAAGTCTGATTAAACACACAAGCCTTTATTTTGTATGAAGGAAAACCTTTAACTACCTTTATGCACTATAATATTGTTTTTTATATTCTTTATTTTTTAACTCTTTAAATGTAATGTTGATTCTCTTGCTTCTGAACACGATGGATTGCCCTTTCACTTACTCGGATGGCATGAGATTGAACTTCAAACTGTACAACTAATGCTGCAATCTCAAATAATTGTGATTTGATAGAATAACCAAGATCATACGAGCTAATAATTCAAATTACACAATGTGTAAAAAATCCGTTTTGTTTTGCTGTGTGAAAAAGTCGTTCAGGATCAGTGTGATGTCGCTCTATGGGTGGGGAACGAGTTCTGAGTGTCAAGACGTTTGGATAATGGAAATGAACTGGGCCAAAATTCTGCTGAATCTTGGCCCAAAGCGCTCGTATGAGCACACAGATGATGTGAGCGTTCACACACACTGACGGCACGGCCTAAAGCTCTCACACACACCAGGAGCTCGATATATGTGCATGTAAAGTGTGTTTGTTACCTGTGTTCCAGGTGTTGTTGCAGTGCGCCCAGGGAAGCCTCGTCTGGAAGCTGTTGCACAGGTAGAAGAACGCCCAGGCCAGAATAATGATGTAATACACACAACTGTGTAAGATCATCACCTGACTGGCGTAACCCAGCCCTGCAACAACCCAACCATTCACCCAAACACAAGCATCATTAAAGGGATAGCTCATCCAAAAATCGAAATTAGCCCATGATTTACTCTCTCTCAAGTCATCCTAGTGTATATGACTTACTTCTTTCAGATGCGAACACAATCAGAGTTATATTAAAAAATGTTCTGGCTCTTCCAAGCTTTATAATGGCAGTGAAAGGCTGTTTCTGTTTTGAAGTCCATAAAAGTGCATCTATCCATCATAAAAGTGCATCTGTCCATCATAAAAGTGCATCCGTCCATCATAAAAGTGCATCCGTCCATCATAAAAGTGCATCTGTCCATCATAAAAGTGCATCTGTCCATCATAAAAGTGCATCCGTCCATCATAAAAGTGCATCCGTCCATCATAAAAGTGCATCCGTCCATCATAAAAGTGCATCCGTCCATCATAAAAGTGCATCTGTCCATCATAAAAGTGCATCCGTCCATCATAAAAGTGCATCTGTCCATCATAAAAGTGCTTCTGTCCATCATAAAAGTGCATCTGTCCATCATAAAAGTGCTTCTGTCCATCATAAAAGTGCTTCTGTCCATCATAAAAGTGCATCTATCATCATAAAAGTGCATCTGTCCATCATAAAAGCATCTGTCCATCATAAAAGTGCATCTGTCCATCATAAAAGTGCATCCGTCCATCATAAAAGTGCATCTGTCCATCATAAAAGTGCATCTATCATCATAAAAGTGCATCTGTCCATCATAAAAGTGCATCTGTCCATCATAAAAGTGCATCTGTCCATCATAAAAGTGCATCTATCATCATAAAAGTGCATCTGTCCATCATAAAAGTGCATCTGTCCATCATAAAAGTGCATCTATCCATCATAAAAGTGCATCTGTCCATCATAAAAGTGCATCTGTCCATCATAAAAGTGCATCTATCCATCATAAAAGTGCTTCTGTCCATCATAAAAGTGCATCTGTCCATCATAAAAGTGCTTCTGTCCATCATAAAAGTGCATCTGTCCATCATAAAAGTGCATCTATCATCATAAAAGTGCTTCTGTCCATCATAAATGTGCATCTATCCGTCATAAATGCACTTTTATGATGGACAGATGCACTTTTATGATGGACAGATGCACTTTTATGATGGACAGATGCACTTTTATGATGGATAGATGCGCTTTTATGGACTTCAAACCAGAAACGGCCATTCACTGCCATTATAAAGCTTGGAAGAGCCAGGACATTTTTTAATATAACTGTAATTGTGTTCGTCTGAAGAAGAGTGTCATATACACCAAGATGACTCGAGGGAGAGTAAATCATGGACTAATTCCCATTTTTGGGTGAACTATCCCTTTAAAACCGCAATGCACAAACTCAAAATAAAAAGGTTCATTTACAAATAAAAACAAAACACACACACACTTCCATCACATGCAGCAAGATGTGACTACTACTCATGTGACTCGACCGCTGTACAGCTTCACAGAAATAAACAGGCTTGCAAAATTCATCACATGTGCAACTTTAAACAATTCAGACATGTGACCTGCAAATAGCGGGCAGACTTTCCTCCATGCGCCGACTCCTCCCAGACTGGTGAACTGGCCGAGCGCCGTCTCCAGCAGGAACAGGGGAACGCCACACACAACCAGGAACAACAGGTACGGCACAAAAAACACACCTGCGTACACCAGTATTCTGATATTTAATGTCATATAAACATGAGCATGCGTATTGTTTGGTGGCGTCTCACCTCCTCCGTTCTTGTAGCACAGATATGGGAATCGCCACACGTTACCCAGACCGATAATCTGCCCGGCGACCGCCAGCAGATATTCAGCTTTACTGGCCCACTGACCTCGCTCCTGGAGCTGGCCACCGGCTGACCTCTGACCCCCAGTGACGACATGGCACGACACACACCTGTACACAGGTCACAGAAGCAGTGTATCACACACACACTGTTGAGACACACACACTGTTAAACTTACATGACAACGTGGTGTGGCTGCTCTTCCGGCCACATGGGGCTCGTGTGTGTGTGTGTTATCTGAGATGTTTAGGGAGGGGTGTGTCCCTAAATAGGCACTAATGCGAGCAGCACATTCAGCAGGAGTTACATCATTTCCTCAGCAAGTGCTCCCCAAATACTTACAATACCAAATTAGATTTGATCGAAACGCAGCGAGTTTTCGGAAAACAAATTAAGGCTGAATTGTCATTACACTGATTCAGAGCAGCCAGAAGTAACTTGAGTAATGTAATCAGATTACTTTTTCAAGTTACTAGTAAAGTAATGCATTACTTTTTCAAATTTACAACAAAATATCTAAGCTACTTTTTCACATTTTTTGACTGACAGCTGTCCTGCGTGTGTGAACATGATGGTTATTTTAGTTCTAGTCTAAATGTGAGCATGCATTTACTCGTGTCACTCGCGCACAAAAACATTCAGTATTCCTCAAGTAAAGAGCGCAATTCTCAAAATTTTACGCAAAACTTTTATAAATACTTTATGTATTTAATCTCACTTTATTAACCAATGTTTTGCCGCTGACCTTCAATGATGTAATTCAACCATACCAATGACTTTAGATTATATTTAGATGTAAGAGTGTTGAACTGTTGAACGCCTGAGAGGATCGTTTGAGCGGCGCCCTCTACTGTACAGGAGTAAACATGCGTTTCCTTCAGCCTGAGGATTATTCACTTCACTTTTGCTGTGAAAGGGCCTGAAAACTAGCCAAAAATACAGCTTTTTTGGTTGTTATTAAAAAACAAACAAGCCCAGGTGAGAGAAAGTAGCGCAAAAGCAACGCATTACTTTTCATAAAAACGTTACTTTCTGGGTGTAATGCAATATTGTAATTTTCCCCAACACTGATGGTATAACGAAAAACATTGACCATACAATTCCTTCAAAACGTTCAGCATGGTTACATATTTTATAATTTCCACAGAAAAGTTCTCCACAATAATTTACAATAAGATCTGATTGAAACAGTTATAGAGGAAAAATGAAAAATGACTTTTAGGAGAGTTACAATAAATCGCAATACAAAAATGTACTGTGGAAACGATTCCAGACGATGAATAAGGGTCTTATCTTTAATATTTTTTCGAGTCATTTGGTTCATTCGACGAACTGACTCGAAAAAAGATTCGTTCATTTTGATGAACGAGTGAGTCACGAACGCGCGTTTATAACGCGAACGCAAGCTTATAGAACACGAGCTTATAAAACTTAAACTTTGTTATTTATTTATTAAACGAGCTTGATAAGACCCTTATTCATCGTCTGGAATCGTTTAAAGCCCTTTGAACAGTTTGCACTGAAACTGTCTTTTGGACCTTGAACCGTTTGGTCCCCATTGAAGTCCATTATATGGAGAAAATCCTGGAATGTTTTCATGAAAAACCTTAATTTCTTTCCGACTGAAGAAAGAAAGACGTGGACATCTTGGATGACACGGGGGCGAGTAAATTATCAGCAAAAGTTTTTTTTTAAAGTGAACTACTCCTTTAATATTAGCCTCAACTCACTGTGACAGCATGTCACCTTTTACCAGACTATTGGATTTTTACAGCAACAAACTCGTCACATTCCCATGGTGCACCCCTGCCAGGCACTAGTGTGGACTCAGTAGGTCAGACGGTTTAATGAGGAAACGCTAATTACAACCAGACTGCAAAACACGCTAATCAGGCGGGACAAACCCACTGTATAGAGGTGTAACCTTTATAGACGACTACCGTGATTTATTCTCCACAGAATCAAGCTGAAGTCTGGCATTGTTCAGCTGCACAGGTTTGCCCCCTATGAAGTAGATAAAAAGCAGACTTGTGGTCAGTTTCTGATTTTATCATAAATGCACACATCCATTAATGCATATATTTATAAATATACTAAGTGTTACTTTTATTGAAAGGCTTGAGCTAAAAATAAGCAGTGAAGAAAATAAACTAGCCTTAAAACCAAGTCATTGTGTGGTTCAGTGACGTTAATAACGCCTGGAGGAGCTTCAGAGCTCTGTTCATGGGTGTAAACTACAAACATTAAATAAATATTGATAACTGAGCGAAAGATTTGAGGAATACTTTCAGTTTCAGCCAACACAAAGAGTCCTACAGCTCCAAGAAAAGCCCTTTATTGCCATATAAAAGAGTGATTATTGTGCCGCTGAACAATGATACTATAGTTATGATGATGAACAGTAAAACTGACAGAAATCTGACATTATTAGGCTATTTTAACCCCAGGTTAACCCCAGTGATTTTTAATAGGGTGTTCCCAGCAAACAAAAATCGGAGAATGTTTTGCTAATGTTTTGTTATGAAAGCATTACTTCTGAACGTTGTTTAAAATAAAAGAGATTTTTTCATGGTTATGTGAATGTTTCAGAAAACATTAATGTGCTCTGAGTCTGAACATTTGGAAACAAGTGGTAATTTCAGTTACACTTTATTTTTAAGGTGTCTAATATGTTATACTGTAATTATATATGCAAGTACTAGGGCCGTCAAACGATTAATCGCGATTAATTGTATCCAAAATAAAAGTTTGTGTTTACATAATATATGTGGGTGCACTGTGTATTTAAGAAATATTTAAGAAATATTTTCATGTGTATACTGTATTTAGATTAATATATAATTTATATTATATATAAATATAAATATGTTATATATAAATAATATTTTTTTCTTAAATACACATGCATGTGTGTGTATTTATATATATACAAAATAATTATACACAGTGCACCCACAAAAACTTTTATTTTGGATCCGATTAATTGCGATTAATCATTTGACAGCCCTAGTAAGTACTGAGTAATATGAATTAACCTTATGTACTTACTACAGGGTTAGGGTCGGATTAGGATTTGGTTGAGGGTTATTTGCATGCAATTATGCATAATTTATATAGTTATTACTATACATGTAACAATGACACTGTAAAATAAAGTTTTTTAAAAGTTTTAACACTAAAACATGTCAGAAAATTGTAAATGTAGAATATGATTGTGGCAAGCAAGAGACCATAATAATCTAAAAAGTGTTACCCTCATTAAATATTCATGAGCTTTAAGTTGAAACAAGAACACATGTGGGCGGGGCTTGATTGTGTCTGTGGGGAATTGATTGGATGGTTGTGGTTTGCTATTGGCTGATCTCATGTGAGTGACAGGTTGAAGCCCCGCCCTCGTCATCAGAAAAGAGATGAGATGCTGATTCAAGATTACCAAGAACAAAAGTTTAAAATTATAATGATGTGCACTGAGAAATAATTTAAAAGAAACACATTATTCCATAAAAAAACAAGTTGTCAATATAGATTTCATGGGGACTTTAAAGCCACATGGGCCACAAAAACAATCTCAGAGAATTTTTATTTTTTTATGATATGAAAACAGAAAAGAGGAAACGTTAGTCAAGCTCACATCAGCTGATATCCACATCTACCAATAGTAATACGACGCCCATCTCTGTGTATAAACAGTAATATGAGCAGATGTGGCGATTGCCCTCCTGAAATCCGGATAAATTCTCGAATTATGTTGTACTTTAAAATCTTGAATTAATGATATCTGCATACATTAACGTTGGTTGTGTTCTGTAACCCTAAACCATGGATGTGCAGACCAGAACCAGACCACCAATCCAAACTGTGTGCTAATTGTCAATCGCATTTGACGACAGTGGTCCTGACAGAAACAGAAAAACTCCTCGGCCATATGCAGAACATATTACATGAGCCAAAGCCAAGCTGTATCAGCAGTCAACCATTACATCACTCTATGGCAAACCACCGCTCGACATGCCCAGCGCTAACACCACACGCAACTCGCCATGTGGGATCCATTTACAGTCTCAAGACTCAAACTCAGATCACTCAAACATCCATACGGTCACGTTTAGGGCTGGGCGGTGTGACAGAGGAGTTAGAAACAGAAAATAATGAAGTTTCACCTTTTTAACCTATAGATGCCAGTGATTATGTCTACACTAATGACGCTGACCCTGTCGGATGCTCTTCGTGAAGAAAAACCATTACGGCAAAAGATAAACGTCTCACTCGGTTGAGATCAGAGACACTGATGTACCGTATTATTGTCTAACCAGTGTAGTTATTAGCTTTGGCTTCCTGTGAGTTACTACATGTGTTTATATTACAGATCTACAGTCTGTGAACGATTCGGAAAATCCCTCATTTTTGTGGTGACTGCTGGAAAAATATCATCCGTTCCCTCGAAAGTCGCCAGTCACGATGAAACAGCATCAGCAAAACTCATGACGACAAATCAGAGCAGGATACCCTAAATTATTATATTTAGATGAACGGTTTTAGATTAACATGCACTAATGAATTATACACCATAAGACCAGTTATTTTATTATAGTATCATTGATATACTATTATAGTTTATACTTACATCGTTTCATTAATATTTTGAATTAGTTTTCATTTTTATACTTCAAGTTTTTTAATTAAATTTTAGTCAACGTTTTAGAAATTTTGTTGTGTATTTTGTAAATCTGCTTAAATAAAATATTGTTTTATATATATATAAATATAATTAGTGTAGATATATATATATATATATATATATATATATATATAGATATACATATGGATGGTTTTAGTTTTAGTTAATTTTTTAGTTAATAGTTTAGTTAGTTATTTTTAGTTAAAGTTTTAACAATTTTGTATATATATATATATATATATATATATATATGCCTTTATGATTTTAAACTAGCTGAAATAAAGATTATATTTGTAATAATTAAGTGTATATTTTTATATTTGTATGCATTTTATTTTGGCCAATGTTCATTTTTAACTGCGTGTAGGTTAAAGTTAATGCAACTGACCACAGGTCAGTATTGAAACACACTAGCATCCGCACAGGAAACATAAATATTCCCAAACGCCCCTTTACTGTACGTACTGTACATCAGAGAGACAGAAACGCTGAGTCTGCTGAAGGAAGAGAAGAATCACATGCTTCCATTTACA